TCTTCTCATGCATGTCATGACCCATTAGTCTCTGTCATCATTTGCTAGTGCCCTGCCTCTGCATTGGGGCAGAGTGTAAATTCTTCCCGCCTTGCTTGTTCCAAGTTTCTGATGGATGCATAGTTCCTGCTACTTCCCAGCCCTCCCTTTCTTATTCTCTGCTTTCTGCCCAGTAACAAAAGAACTGTAATGGGTTTAAAGCCTATTTCTGGCATAGTTACCCTGAACTTCTCCCCTGACCCCAGCATTTAGGGCAAACAGACCTCTAAGAAGTACCTGTCCTTCTTATTTCCTCGATGAAAGTAGTCATTAGGACCCTCCCTGGTGGTGCAAAAGTTAAAGCACAGCATTGTGAAGCTCTCCGCAGCCACTTCAGCATGAGTTCGGTCCCTGCCTAGGGAGCTGTCCCACATGGTGCAGCAAACCTCTCCTGACCCGCCCACTGCTTCCCTTAGGAGTGTATTTTAGTCAGTCGGCCTGTTCTGCTCCCCATTCTGTCTCTGGTGAATCCTCTCACCTGCCTGTACCTCTGGCCTGTACCCTAGTTCTATATGCATAAGTAAATAAATCTTAAAAAAAAAGGAAGAAAGAAAGTAATTATTATAACTAGTTTAATAAAAGGCCCACAGTATTACCTGTGCTCTGGCTTGGAAACAGTGTTGTATAATAATCATATTTAAATAATACTTATTAAGCATTTTCTATGATTCAAACCCTAATTTAGTGCTTTATCTAAGTCACACACAGGAAATTGAGGCATAAGAAGTCACATGAGTTGCCTGAGGATGCACCCCAACAGTTGTTGAGCTTCACCCCTCCTGACATCATGTTGTTCGTGAAGCTGGCAGTCTGTCAGAACAGCTTCTCTCAGCATGTGTATAAAAGTGGGGGAGAACCTTGCACCCCTTTATCATTCACACAAGTGGTTAGGTTGGCAAGCTTTGATTGAACTCTGTTTCCCATACATATTCCTATGGACTAGAGGTAACTCTCTAATTTTTATGGAGCCTCTCAAATTAACTCAGGTGATACCTCATCTGGTACCTCTCTACATACTTTATTGTACTTTTTGGTATCTGTTCTCTGCACTTTATTGTTAAAGATTTATTTCTTTATGTATATAAAAATTGGGGTACAGGGCAGAGGTTCTGGAGGACAGGGGAGAGTTGGTGAGAGGATTCACCGGAGACAGAGGGGGAGCAGAACAGACAGATCAACAGAAATACACTCCTGAGGGGAGCAGTGGGGACACAGGAAAGGTCTGCCAGGCCATGTGGGTCAGCTCCCTGATGGGGCATTGAATTCATGTCGTTGTGGCTGCAGAGAGCTTCACAGAGTTGTGCTTAGCCCCAAGCACCAAGGGAGACCCTTTCAGCACCAGGGAGACCCCTTCAGCACTTTTTTCCCAAACCTTCTTCAACCAATAAGCTCACTTCAGTGCAGTCTTAGTTCCTGAGAGCAGGACAAGAGATAGACTCGGGAATGATTTGCCCCTGTCCCGTAACGATCACACAGTATGAGGAGGGTGGTTGGAGCTCAATGGGGAGCAGGGCAGGTGTCAGGCCCCCACCCCTAGCATGCCATGGCCCTCTGTTCTCAGGAGCATCGTGTGTGACTGGGTGGGTAGAAGAGTGCCAGGTGCCTCTGACCCTTTTCATCAGCTTATGCAAACTGAAGACTCCATCAGCCATTCTGTGTGATGATTGAAGTACTTACAGGAATTCCTTTAAGATTCCTAAGAGTAAAGCATCTTCTTATACAGTGGTTGTTATCAGCAGAGATGGAAGAGAAGAAAATAACCTTTCTCAAACATGAATCAGATTATTCTGTTATCTAAAAGAGAGGTTCTAGGAAGTCATTTATGAATTTAAATGAAATAGAACTTTGAAGTTCAGAGGAATCAAAGTTTTATGTGTTAATTGGCCTCCTGGGCTGTTTCCCCCTTGGGCCTACCTTTCCCAGCACCACATTTCTTACCTACCACTACACATCTAGCATCTTGAACTTGTCTCTCTTCCCTTCATTTTTGTAGCTATAGGGGAAACCAGCTCGGGTACTATTTTATACCTGCACTGGTTAACTGAAGGCTTACAAATGATGCTGGCTCTGAGAGCCAACACTGTCTCCCAGGCCAGGGCTACTCAGAGAACAGCACCCAGAACTTGTTAGAAATGGCAGAGGTAGGAATCAGAAGCTGCAGTCTAATAAGACCCCAGGTGATTCATTCATATACTACAGTTTAAGATGCACTGGGCTAGACCATGCTAAGCCCACCCCATGTCCCCCAAGATGTGGAAGAATCCTAAGGATGCACTTTGTTCTGGTCTATCCTGAAGTTGCCTGGGGCACATATATGTCAGTGGGAACAAAGTTTGCTGTCAAAGAAAGCTTTGTGCTTCAAGCCTGCTCATTCCCTTGACACTTACTTGCCATTTGGCTTCTGTGCTTAACTCAAAATATATTCCTGTCAGTTTTAGAGTCAAATTCAACATTTGTTAAAAACAGCTTTATTAGTGACTGAAACAATGCATGTCACGTATTTAAAGTGCACCACTTGACATGTTTTGACATAGATGTGTATACCAGTGAGACCATCACCATGGTCAGGATAACCAAAGTGTCCACTGCAGTTTGCCACGAAATTTCCCTCCTGCCCCCTTGCATCCTCCCTCCACACCCTGATAACCATCATCTGCTTCTTGTCACTATAGGTACATTTGTATTTTCAGTAATTGTATATGAACGGAGTGATACAATATGGTCTCTTATTTGTCTGGTTTCTTTCACTCAACATAATTATTTAAGAGATTCATCTTGAGAACCATGTATGTCACTCCTGTTGCTGAGTGGTTTTCCTCTATATGAATATAACCCTGTGTGTACATACTTACTGATAATAATTTAGGTTCCCAGTTTGGAACTACTGCTTACAAGTGGAGCTACTGAGAACATTGTTATAAGTCATTGTGTGATCATGTGCTTTAGTTTTGCTTGATAAGCATGGAATGGACTTACCTGGGTCATAGGGTCTGTCTGTGTCTAATTTTCTTAGAAACAGTACTTGCCAAAGGAGTTAAACCATTTTATATCTCCACCCAGCAGGGTATGAGAGGTCCATTTCCTACACATCCTCTTTACTTAGTATTAATCTATTCTTGCTTCAAGAACTTATCAGATAAATGATTGACCAGTGTTTTCTGAACTTGTTTTTTATTGTTTTAACTGTATCTTTGGAAGAGTAGAGGTTTTTTTGTCTGTTTGCTTTTAATGAAATCCAACTTACCAATTTATTCTCTCATGGATGGATTGTGATTATAGTGTTGTCTTTTTTTTAGAATTATTTATTTATGCATACAGAACTGGGGTACAGGCCAGAGGTGCAGGGGTGGCAAGAGGATTCAGTAGAAATAGACTGGGGAATAGAACAGGCAGATATGCTGAAATACACTGCTGTGAGGAGCAGCGGGTGGGTCAGAAGAGGTCTGCTGTGTCATGTGGGTCACCTCCGGGGCCAGGGATTGAACTAGCACTGAAGCGGCTGTGGCCAGCTTGCAGTGCTGCGTCCTAACCCATTGTGCCACCAGAGAGGGCCCTGGTGTGTCTAAGAAATAGTTGCCTAAACCAAGACCATAAAGGATTTCACTTATGTTTTCTTCTAAAAATGTTATATTTTGAGTTAGTTTTTATATCTCAGTTTGCCACCATTTTGAACTAATTTTTGTATGTGATACATAAATAGGATGAGTTTTTCATATGTGTATCCAGTTGTTCCAGCATCATTCATTGAAAAGATTATCCTTTCTTCACTGAATTGCCTTTGAACCTTTGTCAAAATCATTTGTTCACATATATGTAAATAAGCCACTGAAAACCTGGCCCTGATTTTGGGGGAAGCCACTGATGAAAGCCTTGAGAACTCTGGGGTCCCAAATGGTCAGGACAATTGCTGTCCAATGACGCAGTGTGGACTCCAGCTTTGGGGCCCCTCAAGGGCATTTCGAGCTTGCTCTGGGAGTCCAGCGAGAGTGGAAGTGTAGTGTGTGCATCCGTGGACAAGCCGAGGAGATCCCAGTCATTTGGGGAGGCTCAGCGTTCTCACAGCATAGGGCCTCTGCTGAGCCAGGCAGCGTTGTGGTGCACAGCAGCACTCTCCTAGATGTGTAGGAGAGACGTTATTTCACTACCTGTGGTGGGTCCTGGAGGACAGTGGAACTTAACACTATGGAATTCTGGATGAGAAAACGTGCTGAACCAGCAAGGAGGCTGACACCTAGGAACCCAGGAGCCCCGGAACCCCATCAGTTCATAGAACCCACAGTTGCCTGGGTTCTAGGAAGTTCTGTGCTGGCGCTTCTCCAAGCCAGTAAAAGATGTGAATCCAGATAGTAGTTGCAAAGGTGGCATACTGCTTTTCTCTGGGCTTTGTTCCTCTATGCCCAGGACTTCTGTGTATCTCAGGGAGCTGTCCCAGGTGGACACACCTGCTTCCTTAGACTCTGGCAGACAAGGAGTTCTACTCCTGAACCACTAATCCTGGGACTGCTTCCTTAGACCCTGGAGACAGCAGGATAGGCCATTGCCTTTTGGAACTGTGGTGGGATGAATCATTGTTTCCACCTGGGAGCAGACTGGGACCTGCGTCAGTGAGGTGGCCCGCACATAATCGAACTGTCACAAGAGCTATCTCCATCTCTAGCAGAATTCTGGCCTGGCCTTGCCAAAGTCTGCTCTGTCTTGTTGGGCCCCATGGGCAGAAGTCCAGGACTGGTGTCCCGGAGGAATTCAAAGAGTGATTTGAACCTCTCTCACAAAGTAGGAGGAGTGAACAGGTTTGGTGTGGGCGTGCTGTGCTGCTGATTTGTATTCATGTTGTGTTCCTGGATAGACGGTGACCCTGTTGCTCACACACTCGAGCCTGCCCTCCTGTGTGTGTGAGACAAGTGCATTATGACTAGTGCAGTAGATCTGAATACCCATCTGACACATTTTTTGTTTTCCAGGCACTCCTAGCAGGCATGAGGAACCGGGAGAATAGCTCTCCTTGCCAGGGCAACGGAGAACAGGCCGTCAGGGTGAAGATCTTGGGCCCTGTGTGGCCAAGTGAGGAGGAGCCTTGCAATGATGTGACCATCCCGTCCTACAAGAAGCCTCTGTATGGCATCTCACACAAAATCATGGAGAAGAAGAACCTTTCCGCAGGGGATGTGCTCAACACATACGAGCTCTTTGAGAAGGCAAACCCCAGCAACAGCCCCTCACCCCTGCGGCTGCTGAACGAGCCGCAGAAACGGGACTGTGGCAGTGCCGCAGCGGCCACTGATGGGGATCCCAACATCTACTTTCTGATCCAGAAGATGTTCTACATGCTCAACACACTCTCCTCCAACATGTCCCAGCTGCACAGCAAGGTGGACCTGCTCTCCCTGGAGGTGAGTCGCATCAAGAAGCAGGTTAGCCCCACAGAGATGGTGGCCAAGTTCCAGCCACCCCCAGAGTACCAGCTCACGGCTGCAGAGCTCAAGCAGATCGTGGACCAGAGCCTGTCTGGGGGTGACCTGGCCTGCCGCCTGCTGGTGCAGCTCTTTCCCGAGCTCTTCAGTGATGTGGACTTCTCCCGGGGCTGCAGTGCCTGCGGCTTTGCAGCCAAGCGGAAGCTGGAGTCGCTGCACCTGCAGCTCATCCGCAACTATGTGGAGGTCTACTACCCCTCAGTGAAGGACACGGCCGTGTGGCAGGCGGAGTGCTTGCCGCAGCTGAACGACTTCTTCAGCCGCTTCTGGGCCCAGCGGGAAATGGAGGACAGCCAGCCTGGGGGCCAAGTTGCCACCTTCTTTGAGGCTGAGCAGGTGGACCCTGGCCACTTCCTGGATAACAAGGACCAGGAGGAGGCCCTGTCTCTGGACCGGAGCAGCACCATCACCTCAGACCATGTTGTGGACACCCAGGACCTCACCGAGTTCCTGGATGAAGCCTCGTCGCCCGGCGAGTTCGCGGTCTTCCTTCTCCGCCGGCTCTTCCCCGAGCTCTTCAATCACCGGAAGCTGGGGGAGCAGTACAGCTGCTACGGGGACGGCGGCAAGCAGGAGCTGGACCCGCAGCGGCTGCAGATCATCCGCAACTACACGGAGATCTACTTCCCGGACATGCAGGAGGAGGCGGCCTGGCTGCAGCAGTGCGCCCAGCGCATCAACGACGAGCTCGAGGGCCTGGGCCTGGACGGGGGCAGCGAGGGCGAGCCCCCGCGGGACGACTGCTATGACTCCTCCAGCCTGCCCGACGACATTTCCGTGGTCAAGGTGGAAGACAGTTTCGAGGGTGAACGGCCGGGCCGGCGCTCCAAGAAGATCTGGCTGGTGCCCATAGACTTCGACAAGCTGGACATCCCGCAGCCCGACTTCGAGGTGCCGGGCGCAGACTGCCTGCTCACCAAGGAGCAGCTGCGCAGCATCTACGAGAGCAGTCTCTCCATCGGCAACTTCGCCTCACGCCTGCTGGTGCACCTCTTCCCCGAGCTCTTCACCCACGAGAACCTGCGCAAACAGTACAACTGCAGCGGCTCCCTGGGCAAGAAGCAGCTGGACCCGTGCCGCATCAAGCTCATTCGCCACTACGTGCAGCTGCTCTACCCCCGGGCCAAAAACGACCGCGTCTGGACGCTGGAGTTCGTGGGCAAACTGGACGAGCGCTGCCGGCGCCGGGACACGGAGCAGAGGCGCTCCTACCAGCAGCAGCGCAAAGTGCACGCGCCGGGCCCCGAGTGCAGAGACGCGGCAAGCTATGCAGTCAACCCCGAGAGGTTCCGAGAGGAATTCGAGGGGCCCCCGCTGCCCCCGGAAAGAAGCAGTAAGGACTTCTGCAAGATCCCCTTGGACGAGCTGGTGGTCCCCTCGCCCGACTTCCCGGTGCCTTCCCCCTACCTGCTCTCAGACAAGGAGGTGCGCGAGATCGTGCAGCAGAGCCTCTCGGTGGGCAACTTCGCCGCCAGGCTCCTCGTCCGGCTCTTCCCCGAACTCTTCACGGCCGAGAACCTCCGGCTGCAGTACAACCATTCTGGGGCCTGCAACAAGAAGCAGCTGGACCCCACGCGGCTGAGGCTCATCCGCCACTACGTGGAAGCTGTGTACCCGGTGGAGAAGATGGAGGAGGTGTGGCACTACGAATGCATCCCCAGCATTGACGAACGGTGCCGCCGCCCCAACAGGAAAAAATGCGACATCTTGAAGAAAGCCAAGAAAGTGGAAAAGTGACGGGCACCCTGGGACTGAGGTTCCGTCGCAGCGCCCTCAGGTTCTCCACAGACTCGCACCTTATGTCAGTGGGGAGTGGCTTACTACATTTGCACAGCAAGCACCCTCCGTCCACAGAAAGAGCCTTGCGTTGGTCTCTTGTACTTAGACTTTTGTCCTGTGTGCTCTGGCCGTGCAGCCAGAGTTTGTTGAAAGCAGAGGTCTCGGGAGTAGGGGATCTCTCTCCTTGGCTGTGTGGGCCCCCCCTCCCTTAATAATTTGAAATGCAAATTCAGCAACTCTTGTTCCTCTTACCACATTTTACATCTTCCATTTTCATCAATTTTTTTTTTTTTAATTAAAAAGAAACCCCTTTTTAAAAAAAATCACTGGGCTCGTTGGGGGCCATTTTAGAAGAACTCAAATATTTGAGATGAGTACTGTAAGATGATTTCAGTTGCTTGGATATTTTTAAAAGATGGTTTCAGGTTTATGAAATTTTTAGAATTGCCATGTTCATGCATGGAGGCTAATAATAGCTTCAGGTGACATAGAGACCTTCTCACTGGCCTTGTCTTTTACATCTGATTTTAGAAGTCAGGATGCCCCTTGGCTGACAGTAAGGGGCCGGAATAACATGGTGATAGTCTTTCTGAACATGGTCACAGTCTCCCTTCCACCAGGGTTGATGTGACCGGCCTGTTTGCTGTTGGCACTTCATAGAACGTTGTGCTCACGCTGTAGACAAGAACACTGGATGATGATGATGATGATGATGATGATGATGATGATGATGATATGAATGTAGATAGACGTGGAAACACGTTCACAGTGTCTTCATTTGAGCTGTGTCCTTCCACTGTCCCCTCCCCCTCCTCATGAGGATGCTGGTTGAAGGGGTGAACACATTTCCTTGTAAAAGCTATATGTGGCTTCTCATTCAAGGATGGGCCCCTTTGGGCTGTTTACTTTCCATGTGGTGTATTTGTACAGAACCCAGTTCCGGGAGCTGTACGGTGACTTCACCACACCTCAGTGTTAGCTCCTCCGTGTAGTGGCACATCCTGATTCCTCAGGGCAGGCCCAGGCCTCAGGCCCTTTTGGGAATACCTGGCATTGGAAGGACACAGGTCATCTCAAATGAGGCCCATTCCACATCCACTCAGAGCTTTCCCCTCCATCCCCTAGAAGTCCTGCTGTCCTGCCTCTGCCCGGTGGCACCGCCTCAGGGTGAAACATCTCTTCCTACTGGTTGAGAAGGTCAAAGTGCTCCAGGCCGGTGGCATGCGCTCCAGGAGTCCAGACCAAGATCTCCCCAACAGGTAAAGTCCTTAAAAACATGATATTTTCCAACCTGGCATTGCCGTCCAAATGCCTAAGAGGGAGAAGGAAGTGGTCTAGCCCACTCTGAATACATACCAGAAACTTGGAAAATTCAGTGATCACATACAAAACCCTGTAGAATGTTAGAGATTTAATAACCTAATGGCTTAATATTTTGCCACCTTAGAAATGCAGAAATAATGGAAACAATCTGTGAATTTTCTTTATACAGCTGATGAGGACTTCAATTTTAGTTGATCATATGATGTGATCTTTACACAGTGGGCTTTCTTGTAGTAGGACAGGATTTTGAGCCATGTGGAGTTACTGATCCGAATTCAGTAAGTTTGCTTTTAATGTCATTTACCGATCATTTCTGTTGAAGCTGCAAAACTAAATTACTGAAATTTTAAAACATACAGGGACTTAATGGCTCTGTCACATACCCAACCCTCCCACATGTGCACATACACGTTTCAGACTGGAAAACCTTTTAAATGAGGTGAAGGGGACCTACATGAATTACAAGTTCAGCCTCTTTGTGCCTGAAAGAAGGGTCTGGAGCAGCCAGGAGATTTGCTTTCCCCTCGCTGGGGCTTTCTCAATGCCTTAGTCTCTTCCCCACGTGCGCCGGTGTGCGCGCAGACACCCTGTCCAAAGACGGCGCTGGCACTCTCACCGTGTCCTTGGAGCTGGGGCCCCGGAATGTGTTCTGGCCTCTAGGACATATCCAAGAGGATTCCAAGCCATGTGAATAATTGCCCTGCTTCTAGAGGGTGGAATGTGGCCCAGCAGTTTCAGAAGCACAATCATTTGTTGTTAATAAAAAATCCTCTCTACTCACCTTAGCGGAATCAACAGGTTCTAGGAATGAAAAATGCTTCTTTATAATCTCAAGCATGTTCAGTTTTGGGGAACTAGTTTGGGGGTTTCCTCAATACTTTCCCTGGGTAGGGTTTCTTCCCCCCCAGATTTTAAACTCCTTTTCTGTGAAGAGAGGTGGACATACTCTGGGAGCTGTTTCCTGCCCCTCTGTATTGTGCCATCAGGAAACGCCTGCAGGTCCTGCGTCTGTGTGGTGTCCTCAGTTCCCCGCCATACAGGTGGGCATGGGGCAGTTTTTTTACACGAAGCAATAGAAGTACAAAATACCCTTTTCCCCCCTAAATTTAATGTTTTCTATAAAGTCTGTGGGCAAACCCATCTAAATTTTTTGGTTTTCACTTGTTTGGTTTTGGGACTTCCACTCCCCCCCCCCCAGCCCCCATCTGGAGGACTAAAGATTTAGCACACATTCTGACGTTAAGAAAAATAGCAAGTCACAATAGGTGGTAGTGTCCCTCGTTTTCTGTTAGTAAGTTTTCAAAGAATGTATGAAGATAGACATGAATGTACTAAGTTCTCACCCTGTTTTGGTTCACTTTTGGCTGTGTCCACATGACAGCAAACATTTCACAGGTACCAGACTGTGTCTCATGTCATGGGCGATGTGCCCTCCCCTTCACTGTTGGCCCCAACCTGCCTTTTTCTTTCAAGTTTCAGGGGAGGGGGCCCAGATTAACAGCAGCCATCAGCCAACCAACAGGATCTATTTAGTGGGAATGGTTAGCTGTCTGCTAAGAGTAGCTGGCCTGACCATGTCACAGCTTGGCCGTTCGGGCTTCAGTTTTCACCTTCCCCACCAAATATCTGTTTCTTGCCTGACTGAGAGGCAGACTCGGGACCCCTAGTTGAGGTCTCTGAGCTCTTGCCCTGCCTGACTGTAGCTAGACAGTATGGAGTGGGGGGAGGGGGGGGGTGAGAGCCAGGGGCTGTTTTATGCCATTTGGAAACACTCGCCTCTTGTAGATCCAGCCTTAATGTTTTTCTGACATCCTAGTGATAGCAGACCTGCACAAAGTGGATATCAGAGTTAATACTGTGAGGAGACAAAATAATGAGAATAGTTTTACCAAAGATAATGAAAATATCGCATAATGTCTGTGTTTTACCATTGGTTTTGAGTGCATCCTTAGAAAACTGAATGTAACAAAAACCCAGGACATTTTTGGAAATTGTATGCTCTCTAGCAACTTTGTGTGAATTTTTATACAAGCACTGTTTTATGAGTTATATAAAATGTTATAAAAATAGAAAATATATGGTCTTGTAACATCTTCTTTTCTTAGTGCTCAGGGCTCTCAGACTGTCTCCTAGTCACTTTCCCCTGCAGCCTCCCCCCCTCCCCAAAAAGGACAGGAACCTGTAGGGGGGAATCTCAGCCTCTTGGGCTTCCACATCCTGGGTGTCAGGGTACAGCTCACAGGATTGAGTTTGTCCACAGCTGGGTGGCAGAGAGGTCACCAGGTACATCCTAGCCTGCTGCTTACACAAACCGCTGCCTAACCAGGCTGTGGGGGGCACATTTGACCTTTCTAACCTTCCTAATCATGTGCCAGGCTGGCCATCAGAACTTCATTTCCCTCCTTTTTTTTCCACTTAGGAACAGATAGGATTTAGTTCTCAGGGCTAACAATTTATTAACTGATAACAAAAAGATACATATTCATGCATATTTTTTTTTTACTCTTCATTGGCTAATTATAAATCATTAAAATAATATTTCATAATAGAACTGCCTCAAACTGTCAAGAAACATCTTTTCTTGGCCCAGGCATCTCAAAAACACAAGGCAGTGCAGCTTGTGAGTGAGCACTTCCCCTGCAGTGAGTGCTTCGTTTTGTGAGTTCTGACACTTCCATGCAAAAGCAGGGCCCGGGCTGGGACCCCAACAACTGAGCTTGAGCGTGCAAGCAAGTCTCAAAGGAAGACTAAATCCTTTAAGCCTCTTCTGGCTGTAGGTATCTTTGCTTTCCATGAAAATGAAAATTCACAGAGAATTACAATATATGTGCGCTTACTTGTAAAATCTAGTTCTCATAGATAAGAATTTGACAGCAAATAAATTACCGTCATTAGAATGGTGAGAGGCAGTGAACTCTTTAAGGGAGTTTCCAAATGAGTCAAAATCCCCTGGCGAGTGGCAGGGAGAGGCCTGAGCAGTCATGCCTGTCCCCTGGGGTGGCACCTCACGTTCACTGGGTGTGCCGTGTGACAGACTGTACCTGGATGATCTTGCGGCTCTCTCAGGAGTCCTGTGAGGGGAGTTCTAGAACTCACCTGTTAGGACAAACACCTTAGGCGCTGCATGTACATACTGCCTCACTTCAGTCTGTCACCTCTGCTTTGTGGTAAGAAAGCATAAGGTTTCTTGCCCAAATTCACACAACTAGCAAATGATGGTGCCAGGATTTGAACCCATTTGTCTCTTTCCACTACACCATCTCAGAAGTGAAGCCACAGCAACCCAGCTGGCGGTGTCCTGTGTCACCCACATCCTCTGAACACTGTTTTGTCAGAGCTTAGCTATGAACACACTAGTTTTCAAATTGCCCTGGGTGAGATCTTTGCCACCATCGTGGACAAGGGTGTTCTGGTAATAGTACATTTTTGGATTGTGAAAGTAACTGTTGTGACCTGGATTCCCAAGGAACAGAGCCGAGACAGATTCTTGTGCAATTGATTGAGGGTGTGCTCCCCAGAGAAGGACAGGAAAGGAGGAGATGGAGTCGGGGAAGGCCATAGGAAAATCGTGGTGTCCCCTACAACCTAGCTTCATTCCTACAACCCTAGCATATGAACTGTTGGGCAGACTTAGGCAAGTTGTCACCGTCAGGTCTTCCAGGGGGAAGAATGTAACTCCCCTGGCAGAGCAACTCCATATCCTGGAGGTCAGTGCTCCAATAGGGCTGACACCAGCTAGCAGTTAAATGTGCTGCACAGGGGTCAGCACCCATCAGGAACAGAAGCCCAGAGGGCATGTGAGAGGCACCCCCAGCATCCCCACCCTCGGGGATTCCAGTGCAGTAGGTTTGGGTGGGGCCTATTCTACTTTGCATATCAACTGCTTTCCCAAGGCATTGATTCTCCTGACTTGTCTGGGTCACACTCAACCACTGCACTACAGGAACTTTGCAAAACATGCTGTGTGTTATCACAGAAACATGTTAACACAGAGAAGTGTTAACTTTTCTGACTATTAGAAATAGACCTGAGCTAAAATTGGGATTCCTGTTGTGTTCAAATAGAACAGAAGAGGTAAGTTTACAAATGTTTAAATCAGGGTTTGTGAACACTGATCAAATGTCATGGCCTTTGCCTGCACATTTCTGAGGGGGAAAGCCTGTTGGGCTTATTTTAAGGAGTGAGAATTCATTTCTTCTGGAGTTTGTATTCTAGATAGTGAGCTGTGTCTGACAGCTTGGGAGCATCCGTACCATAGCCTCCTTCTAAGAAGCTCCTGCTGTGTGTCAGTTGTATATTCAAAGTGACCTTGGGTCCCTAAATTACAAGGAGTTCTATTTTCTGTTTTCTCCCCCAAAGTGCTAAGAGATCATGAGACTACTGCCTAGCCATTTGTTGTGATGTGCAGTGTCCACGATAGTAAGTGCTAGTTGGCAGTTTTGTTTCCTGGAGAACAGCTGTCTTGAAAGAACTGACCATTGCTGCTAACAGGGCTGACTAGGTTCCCACCAAAACAGTTCTAATCTTAAGTTCTTCATCTTTTAAGAACTGCAAACACACTGGAAGTATTTTCAGGCTCTTCTGGACAAGCAAGAACTCTTGTTTTTAAAAAATGTTTTTTCTTAGTCAACTAAACAGGCTTTCTCAACCTTGTCACTTTTGACATTTTGGGTCAGATAATTCTTATTGGGATAACTCTATACACTGTAGGTGTTGAGCATGACTGCTTTCTATTCTTGATGCCCCAAATACCCTCTCAGTTGTAACAACTGAAAATAAGGCATTGCCAAAAAGTGGAGGTTAGGGTAGAAAATCAGCCCTGGATGAAAATCACTGTATTAGAAACATCCAAATCTTTTCTTGACTCTTGTCACATTGTTCACATATTCACTGAGACCTCTACAGGACATTATAAAAGCAGCAGTCATTTGGTTCGAGAGTAGTCAGTGAGTTGGAAGAGTCTCATAAATCTTTATGAATTGTTTCTGTTGCTGTTTCATGGAATGTTCCAAATGCCCTGTACTTATATAGATAATGGTGAGAGATCAGGTTCTGCCAGTCTATGCCATTCTCACCAAAGGTCCTTTTCTTGCTCTGACTTTTCAAAGATCAGTCTGGAATAGGTGAAACCCTGCAGAACAGCTACGCTGAGGCACTTACTATGAAATACCTACATGGCACTCAAGCACCCAATCTTTCAAATGGACCTTCCTGCTTTCTAGCTACCATCTACCTCACCTTACTTCATAAACCTTTTAAGTTTCTTCTTCAAGACTTGACAAGGTAAAGCAATTAGTATTGATTTCCACTTGACCAATGAAGAGACCAAAGCTCACAGAGGCTAAGGTAAGGTTCAGACCAGACAATGAGACTGAGTCTTGTCAGGGACTGACCCCCATCATGGGCTTTCAGAGGACAGGGCCTTTAGGTGGAAGTGGCATAGGTGAGCAAGAGATTTCTAAAGAGGGAAAAGGGGAGCGGGGGGGGGGGCGGCGAGGAAGGCAGGGGAATCGGAGTTGGGTGCAAGTCTTCCTGCTTTGGTTTCAGCAGAGGTTTATTTTATACAAGCAAGCAGTGGGATAACATCAACATATATGAATTGGGCTGAGAGATCACAATCATCTTTTTTCTAATAGTTTGGGGTCGTACTGACCTTCAGCTGAGATTCTAACATTTATTATTCTTAAAATTAATCTATTAAAGTTAAAACAGATACATAAATTTATAAAATTTAAGTTTAACATTGCTATGTTTACACAGTGATGATTGGCTAAAAATAAAGTCCCTTAACCCTTAATTATTACCTAGCGACCTTCATTCTCATTGAGGTATCCTAGAGGGTAAAGTTGAGGGATAGGATAGAGTAATTTTCTTGTAAATCAATCACGAAAAGAGATACAGTAAAGTTCCTTAAAAACTGAATAGAAGATTTGGGTGAGGTTCCTTATTTAAAGACTAAACAATAGAAAACTTAAGTAATTCTGAATAGAAGGCTTATGTGAGATAGTAGAGTGATGAAATTTGGGTTCTCATCCGGGGCAGTAAAAATCTCTGTTCTAGTACTGCCTTGTCTTACAATTTTGGTTTTGTTATAATTGCTTTTATTAATCAGCCAGTTGTAATTTATTTTTGATTTCAAGAGGAATTTCCCGTCCTGGGGCAGCACTTGCTCACCTGAGCCAGGCAGCACCTTATGAGGCGAAGGCAATCCAGTTGAAAAGTGATGGTTGCTTAGAATGTTTTGATGATTATACAAAAAAGGGAGGTCATAACCTAAGCTAGTGTGGAAATTCTGATTTTTTCAGAGCTTTTCCTTTTCTATCCAGTCAGTAGAAGTTGCATAGCTTGTGTCTAAGAGTCTAAAACCCAGAATCCCTGACACGCCACTAGATCATACTGCCCCTCACCAGCCAAGATTTCTCAGGCTGTTACTTTCCAAAAAAAGAAGAAGAGGGGACAGACAGGGAAGAGAAAAAAATGAGAAAGAATGAACAATATAACTTTTAAATTATAATTCATAACTGACTCATGTTGAAGTTAAACATACTATTTTAAATGATGACTCAGGAAAGCCCAATAAACAAGTGATAAAATAGAAACTTTGGTACTTCCAGAGTTTAAGCTTTCAAATAAAAATCAATTTTCCTGAATCTTCTGAAATTTGAACTTCCAGAATCTTGGACCTAAACATCCTTGCTTGGGTTAGACATTTATTTCCCTCTGCTGACAGACACCCTGATATCATGTCTTTCTGACATGACATGATGTATTAAGTTTCCTATGAGTTAACTCTTGCAGTGCGGAAGATTCTTGAGAATTTATACACTGATTTACATATGCCCTTTTCTTAGATCAGGTATGTATGATACTTCTTACTCTATTTTCTTTCTAACACTTTCACAAGAACTAGAGTAATTATAAGGCTGATTCCCACCCTTTTGAATGATAAAACTTGTGTATTTCTACTTTCACCTGATGATTAAATCATCAGTTTATTACCCTAAACCCAGAGGGTCATTAATTTTTTTCTTGTAGGGTCAGATAGTAAAAAACTTAGGCTTTGTGGGAAACAAAGTCTGTCGTGTATTTTTTCCTAAACTACTACCCTTCAAAAATGCAAAAACCATTCCTAAGTGCCACAGAAAAAGTCTGAACGCCTTAGTTTATCTCCCCTGCACTATGTAATTATTCTCAAAAGATCCTAACTGGTCCATAGGGGATTAGTGACAGGAACGAAGGGCGTACATTGGTAATGCTGGTGAATCGAGGGCAGGTACGAAGGTGCTCACCATTTATCTTTCCCCTATGGATCCTGGGGGTGACCTTGACTGCCTGTTGTGTTTTAAGAAGCCTGAACAGAAAGCAGTTGGCCAATTTCACAGACTTACCAGGTAGTTCACATGAGAACAGCAGACTAGTCATTAAAACCCTCTCTGGGCCAAGTTCATCCGGAACATACCTCACTCGCGCTCATGAGGGCAAAGCAAGTGTAAATCAGGCCTGGGAGGGAAATCCAGACCATGGGAAGTGTCTCCAATAGATCCATCCCAATTTTCACAAAACAGCTCCACAGGTTCCACAAATTAAGAGAAATTTATTTTAATAAAAATGTCCTCTTTGCCACCAGAAAGCAGCTGTATCTCTAGAAAGTAATCCACTCATTTAGACACACTCTTCTTAGGCAATTTTAAGTTTTTCCACCGTCGCAACACCACTCTGTATTTTTCACTGTCAGTCTTCTCTTCAAACACTTTTTTCAAAAGAATTCGCATCACTGTCTCTGTTTGAGCTTCTTTATTCTCTCCAATAAGAAGATCCAATGCATCTCCCACTTTCACCTGAAAATTAAAACTGAGCTCTTATGTTTTTCAAATGCAAGCCAATGCAAACAGCCCAGCTTTAAGTTTCCACCTGAATCCCACCCCCCACGAGGAACCCTGCTGGCTCCTGTAACACAAGTGTCAGGGGTGAAGGGGCCTCCTGCAGAGTGGCCTCAGTATTCAGTGCACACTTGCTGGCTATGACTGTACAGGTCAATCCCGCAGCCCAGAGGAGTTAGATGTAAAACTTTAGTAGTTTTTAAACCATTAGCTTTCTCCTTTCTAGATGAGCAGCAGAAAAGCACACCCCACAATTAGGCAGGAAGACTGCTTCTCCCTCTTGTGTCTGAAAGGATGGGATGACCCAGGCATCATCTGGGGAAAGGAGGCGGTCTGTACTACAGTTTTAATGGTTTTAAAAAAGGGGGGACGGCCCTCCCAACACTGGGGAATACCTCTAATGCAGAGGCTAGGGAAAGAATGTTTCTCCTTCACCTAGAGAGATGAGTTTAGGAAGGTTTCAATCCCTATACCTGGCCACCTGTTTAAATCAAGTTACCCAGACCTAGCACTCAGCTCCTCCTCCTGGTTAGTAGCTCCCAGAAAAGCTACATGCCCCCAGCTGCAGGCACAGAGTGAGGGCTGCAGCATCAGGCAAGTGCCTCACCCTCCAGGGCCACCAGTGCAACTAAGACAAGCCCAGCAGAGCAGGCCACGGAAGGGGAGGTGTTCTTCATTCTCCTGCCAAGGCCCTGTCCTTTCTAATGTGAAACAGCACAGCTGACACAAAGCAAAACTGGCCGGGATTAGGGACTCTTCCAAATATCTACATTTAAAATCTCCCTTTAGCTGCAGTTACTATGGCTACCAGGCCTCCTAGTAACTAGCAAAGTGTTAATACAGCATCTTCCTTTGCTGACCCTCAGGAGAAATCTGGAAGGCAGCGAGACCACAGAACACCCGAGGCAGAGTGAAGTAACAGCAATTAGGCTGTAGTCAACAATATCTCAAAGCAGAGGGAGGAAACTCTGTGGTGTTTGTGAGTCTCTGGCAAAGAGGCATCTGCTCCAGGAACCAGCCTCGTCTGGGGAACACTGGCTAAGAAGGAGGCCGGACTACCAGCAGGAAAGGCCCTGATTTCCTGACACAGCAGGACTGAGTGCCTGACGCACAGCTCACTGAGCAGTGACACCTCAAGTCTGAACCTGCTCCTCAGGTACCATCCGAGAGATGGTAGTTCTTTTGCCTTGGCAGCGAGACAAGTGCTGGGAGTTCGCGCTCTATTTACCTACTTAGCTGTGAGAACCAGTCTATCCTTAGGGGAACTCTGAAGCCTCTGCTCACCCAGGGCCATGGCCATGGCCTGTACCCTCACATATGCCAGGATGACAGGGAGCAGCTCAGGACCTCCAACCCCAGGGAATATTGAAATAGAGAAGACATTCAAGTAAAAACAACCTCCAAAAGTGTACCTGACTTCCCTGCAATACTGGGCCTCCACACATTAAGAGTTGGGCCCTGTGTCTGGTGCCTCCTTGTCCTCCAAGCTGTTGAAGGGTTTCTGTCATCCACTTATGTGTGTGCATATGCTTACCATCACGATTGTTTTATCCAAGTATAAAAGTGACACACATTCATAGAAAGCATGGAGTATAACCAGTCATATCCCCAAAGCTAAATACTAATAATATTAATACTTAAATTGTATTACTTTTATAAAAACATTTTTAACAGAAGGTACACAGGGCTTATTGCAGTAACACTGGATACAGACAGTTATCCCATGTTTAATAACAGCAATGACATGTAGTTAGCATTCTGATAGGGGCTTGGGAGGATACTGCTGAGCCTGGCAGAACTGACATCTGCTTAAACACCAGCAGCCCGGAGAAACTCTCTACATGGCTCAAATGTTTCTTTTGAGTATAATTATGATGTGATAGGAACTAACATTAATGAGTGGCAAGTTTAATTAATGGAATTCTGTCAGTTCTGATAGTGCTTATCTTCAAATTTTAAAGAAAAGAGGGAAATTTTATCTGAAACTCAGTAAGGCTGCAAAAGCTAATGTGACTGATGGCAACCGGTGATGGAGCAGGCCTGAGCCAGCCCCCATGAAACTCAGACAGGAACACAAGCAGCCACTGCCACCCAAAATAAGGGCAGTAGCTGAGTACTGGCAAAGTAACAGACACTATCTGGGTGTCATTATGGGATTAACAGCTCACCGTTCTGCTTTTCTTCCATAATTTTTCTCCATTTAGCCGGAGTTCACCTTTGTAGAAGGCATCTTCCACTTTGCTAAAAATCAAACAAAAAAAAGTGTTTAAATATAAGCATACTCAATTATACAATTCTGAGAAAAATGCCTGCCACTAATGTCTACTCAGACAATGAGCGACTTCCCCACAAAGTCTCCATTGGTAAAGTGAAAGTTAACTGTTTCCATATGTGTTTAAAATAGGGACGCACAGGCCTTTCTGAAGAGATGCTGAGTGCGACAAAGATGCGGAACATAAGAGGGCAGGTCAGCAGCTCTCTAAGGGGCTTTCATGAGGGTCTGGCACAGGCTGTAAGGCCAGGCAGGCCAGGCCCAGGAGGCCCCACCCCCACTCCCCATGCAGCAGATATCTGTGAGCAGCAGCTGCATGACTCACGAGGGCCAAAGTCATGGCCCTCCCTTTCCCTCACATACCAGCTCTGTGCTCTCAGAGAACAACCAGGCACCACAAGTAGGCGAGGCCATCAGGAAACCCTCTACCAGTCCTCACTGGGGCAGGGGATTCCAGCCCAGCACTTGCTGCTCTCTAATTTTTAGCCACTGAGGCACACCATGGAAGATTACAAACAAAAATCCGTGCCCTTTTCTCCTGAGAAAGGGCTTCTTCTTAATAATAACAGCTGCCCCAACAACTCTAGGAACAAGAAGCTCCCTATGAGCTCACAGGTTTTAGAATGTTCAGGGTGCTTCATGAACTTAAAGTCATCTTTATGAACCCACAAGATACATGGCTTAAAAATTAAACTATGCCACTAACTTAGGTCATAAGGTACACATTACACATGACATCTTCCTGAATTTATTCTTCATTCTTCAATTGTTACCTTGCATGTCATAAGCTTACACAATGATCCAATGAGGGACACATTCTTATATAATTAGTCTAGCAGAGAGAGAATGAGAATATTAAAGAAATCCATCCTGAACAATTATACTTAGTATTTTTATTAAGTACTCTATGAGCGCACATGGTGTCTCCTCCATACTAGCGAACGCACCCTGAGTACAGATCAGTGCAGATCATGTGCCACAAGACCACGAATCCCTAGCTAGCTTTTAGTTGGCACTAGTGTCATCAACCACAAGCGTGTAGGGGAATAATTTTCCTACCCTTGTAAACTCATATTTTAGATTCTTCTTTGAAGCAAAATGACCTTTTCACTGTTTTCAATATTAATTCCTGAGTTGCGAAAATTCCTTGTTTCTTGCCTGTTTTTCTCTATTCAATCCTGGAAGCCACAACAAGACACTTTTTTCTCTTATCTCTTGTCTGCTGTGTGTGGTTCCCTCTTCACACATGGGCCAAACAATCGGTAATGTTGCTTGTAATATCAAAATCATGGGTTTGGACTAAAACATGCATCACACTTACTTTCTCCCAATGTCCAAGCCTGTCTTCAGAATCACGTCATACCGGAAAGACTGCACCACCTTTGCCAGGTCCTTATAGTCCTTGGCCACGCTGGGGTCATCCTCCAGTTCCTCGCCCTGCTCACTCATCTCACCTTCACTCTCTTCATCAGAGTCCTCCTCTTCTAATTTTTGCAGAGTCTTCTTGGTAGATTTTTTGGAACTTATATTACTTTTGAGTCTTATGGAAAATGGAAAAATATATTCTGTTAAAAGGCCTGGGAGTCTTAGTGAGAAAATGTTATGGAAAAGTGTTTTATACTTCCATGCATTCAACTTAGTACTGGAAAAATATAAGCATCGATTCCGGGAAGCACAGAGTTTGCGTGAAGACGGTGTCCCCCGCAGAGCTCCCCAGAGTCCAATCCAGGCATCTGGCTTTCTTAAAACACTGGTAGGTAATCTGACAGTAGGCACAGCCATGGCGCATGTAACCTAAAACAGACAATAATTCAGATTTATTTCACAAATGAGTACACCAGGAACACTTTGTATCTTGTACAGTTAGGCCCTCGCTAAATGCTGTCCACAGATTCTTAGAAACAGCAGCTTCAAGCGAACTGATCTACACAAAAGCAGATCTTTGAATGAGGTTAGTTTCATTCAGTACTGGCCAGGGTTATTTGTTTCTCATCAGTGTTACAATGAAATGACACTAAACCAAGCAACATTATTCAAGCCCCCCCTTTACTTATGCTTCCCTGCAAAAGTCTGCTTGTACCACACAAGGAACACAAGTGCCCCATGATGAGTCTTCTAGCTGTAGTTAATGTGCTTACCACAGAGAGGGGCCCGCCTAGATACTAACATGTGCAAATGCACTGCTTTAACTCTTCTCCCAAATTAGCTTGAGTACTGAGGAAACAGTTTCACAATCACACACATGCATAACACATATCACAAATGTGTACATAATATGATCACACACTGGCACACATACTGAATCATCATGTAAAACGTATCGTGTATTTACTATAGTTAACAATTAAAAAAGAAAGTCTGAAAATACAAAACTAGAGGACATCAGCAAATTCTTCTTTGCTATCAAATATAACATCAAAGGGCCCTACCTGGTAGCGCAATGGGCTAAAGAGCGGCACCGTGAAGCTCACTGCACCCACTTCAATAAGAGTTCGATTCCCCACCCTGGAGGTGATCCCCATGGTGTGGCAGACCTCTCCTGACCCGCCCGCTGCTCCCCTCAGCAGTGTACTTTGTCGATCTGCCTGGTCTGTATCCTGTTCTTCCTCTGGTGAATCTTCTCACTGCTCCTGCACCTCTGGCCTGTATCCCAGTTCTGAATGCATAAATAAACAAATAAACCTTAAAAAAATATATATACAACCCCAAAGCCATATGTATACCTGGACCTCAGGACCTGGCTGCATGTCCAAACCAATTAACTAACACTTCCAGAGCCCCAAGTGTCTACAGAGATGAAAAGCACTGCCTCTCGGGGATAAATCTGTGCAGGTTACTCATTTTACAGATGCACACAAGTGAGAATCTGGAACAATTCAACAGTCTGCTAAGTGATGCAGTTAGTAAATGATACCCGAGCTTCCACAACCAAGTCTTCTTAACACTCATAATTATTTTTAGTGGGTCAGGCATTGTCCAATCTATCTCACTTATTCCCTCCAACAAGTCCCAGAGATAGGAAAAGCAGATTCAACCTCCAGGGACCTGGCTCTGAAGTCTACAGCCTATCACTCTGTTGAATTGCCCACTACTCTTTCTGCCCTGCATCACAGGTAGACCCATTTACTTACACTCGGAGACTTACCAGCACAAAATAACTACTTAAGAGTACATGCTACACGTAAGTCTAATAAATACAACCCATAGGACTCAGCAAGCATTGCCTCTGTGCGACCATCTGACTGGGAGGGCCCCGAGGTGGAGGTGGAACTGCTAGAGCAGAGTGCAAATCAGGCTTCCAACCCTTCAACCGGGGCAGCAGTGAATATTGAGGTTCCTTATATTTCACTTGAAAGAAGGATTCTACTAACACAATTTTTTTGTCCTTTTAGCATGCCCCCCTCCCTTCCAAGCACACACAAGACCCACTCTCCCCCTCCACCCTCCTGTGCCCCAGGCCTTTTCCAAGCTCGTGTCACACCAGTGCTGTCTTTAATATTGCTCTTAACTTCCTAACTTCACGGTCGTCACAGGACACCAATCTGCCCAGCACACACAAAAGCCAGTGAATACTGTGGGTTCTTTTCTAGAAACGAGCATCCTGCCCGTTACTACATCCATCCCTATATTCACTTCCTTGTCCACATATGCCAAGTGACCAGGTAAGCCTAGGATTAAAACACATTCCTTGTCTTCAAGATTCAAGAGGCGGCAGGGCCCTGCACAGGCTGGAACCCAGAGCAGAGACACCTGAGTAGATTTCTGATGGCCAAGTGAGCTTCGGAAAAAGAGGATGTTACAACAGCAATTTTGCACTGATGGACTTTCTCAAGAGCAGGTTGTTATTTCTCTCATTTAAAAACCAACAGACCTTGTCTTAACCCCAGCATTCCCAGTGACTACTCCTTTTCTTGGTCCTCTTCAGCAAAGCTTCTCACAAGTGTTGTCTATGCTCTCGGTGCCCCTCATTTCTGAACCCAGAGGTCATCTGTCTAGTCCGTGACTCCCAGAAGAATCTGAAGCAAATGATCGCCTCCCTTTGGCTCCCAGAATACCTACCTCATTCATGGTTTTCCTCCCACTTACCTCCTGCTTTTCAGGACATTTTTACTGCTTTCTTCCTTTCTCCCTGACATCTTAATGTTGGAGGCTCCAAAGCTCAACCTCTGGCCCTCTACTCTTACGTTCATTTCATTCCCTACCCTTGTACTCTCTGAAATGTATCCATCAGTTTTGACAAACGCCTGTCAAGATCCATATGGCACTGCTTCCTTATCTACACCCCACTGGAGAACTCTAGGTGGGGTGGGTCATGCGATTATATCTCAATTAAAATCCCTTCGCATGGAAACTGCAATGCACTTTCCTGGCAGAAAGCACTTCATATGTTGTCACAGTGTATTCCGAGGCATTAAGTGCATCCCATGTAATTCCACTGAGGTCTCTTGGAAGATGACGACTGATTTCCTCCAACTCTGTCCCCTGCACCTTCTCCCTTTGCTGATCACGCTTGGCACCTTTTCACTGCATTAGATCATAGCAATGACCCAAAGCTGAGTTATCCTAGTGAATCCATGAAAATGGGGACGGTTTGGGGGACCTGATGCAATATCCAACCACTCATCTGGTTTCTCCACTTAAGTTCAGAACAAGCAGCTCAAATTAAGTTGGGCTCAAACCAAACTTCTGATAAATCCTCAACCACAACAAGTCTGTTCCACCTATAGCTTTTTCCCCATCTCCGGTAACGGGAACTCCACACTAATAGATGCTAAGACAAAAAACAAAGCATCCAGGCAATCTTGACTCTTCTCTTCCCCTCACATCTATTACGTCAGGAAATCATGTTAGCATTATCTTCAAAACATGTCCAATACCCCACCACTTCCACATATTTAGGTGACCATTATCTATCTCCAGGGTTACTACAAAGACACTCTTACAGTTTTGTTGGGTCCCAGCAGGGATGAGCCTCCCCAACCACCCCCGGAGCTTAAGCACAAGATCATAATAGGAAGAAGACATCTTGCCACTTGTGTGAGTGGCTTAACCTTTGGGCAACTGATCAATATCCACCCTGATCCCAGTGGCACATGTGAGGTAGATTTCCTCCTGCCCCCAGGCCAACATCCTGGGATTAAGGGTGTAAAAGGGAGGCTGGAAAGGATAAGAGAGAGAACTTGTTTGCTGCAACCTTCTACGTGTGCTGACTCTTCAACCTCGACGTCCCCCGCGCAGACTCGTATCCCTGCCGTGCTGCGGGCGCTGCACGGTTTGGTCTTAGAGCTGAGTGACTGTATCAAAAAGCAATTTACACCACACTATGTTTTTCCTCATACAAAAGTAGGTAAAAAACAAAAGTCCCTATTGAGGTCTCCCTCCCAGCCCAGGTCTCCCTCCCCCCAACACTTCTCCCACTTTCACCCTCCATCATTCAGCTCCAGCTACACCAGTCTTCCTGGTGCTTCTCGCTCATAGCAGGCACATTTCTGTGTAGGGTCCTTTGTTCCTGCTGCCCCCTCGACACTCTTACCCAGTTACCTGCATGGAATACCCACCTTCAGCTCACAGCTCAATGTCAACTCAATGAGACACAGATTCCAACTCTATTTCAGGCACCTTGCTCTCTCCTTAACCTGGACTACTTCCCGCCCGCCCCCCCCCAGCATTTACCACCTGATATCATATTATTTAAAATACGGGGTTTTGTTTTTGTTTCTCATTTCAGAATACAAATACCACCAAGGAATCTTCATCTGTTTTTTTTTCCCCCTCTGATGAATCTCAAGGGCCCTGAGTAGTGCTTAGCACGTAACAAATGCTTGATTCAATACTGTGGAATGAAAGGAGATCAGAACTGTAGCATTACAATGCACCTCGAAAAGAACGCACAGATGTAGCAGGATTGCTGGCTGAGCCAGTACAGATCAGCAAGAGCCTTGCCTGTCAAAGTTTGGCTTTGATCCAGAGAGCATGGCAATCACAAAATGATCTTAAGTAGGGATGTGACCCAAAGGATTGGATTTGAAAAGATTTCTTTAGCGACGGTATGGATCTGAGTAGGAGGAATGATCACGAAAGGAAGACCGTAAGTTTCGTTTGAGAATTTCAGAACAGTCAGGAAATCTGTAAACTAACCGAAGGCTGTTAAAAAAAAAAAAAAAAAAAAAAAAGCAAAGTCTAAGATCCAGAGGCCAAGCCGTCCTTGACCCGCAGGACGCTGGGATCACCTCAGTTCACTGACCACAAGTAAAAATCCTCCCCACTTCTGGAGACCTCAGGCAAGATCTTTCAGTTGGCGTGGGGTTCCCCTTGCTCCCTCCCTGCCCCAGCAGACTGCGCACCTTTCCGGGTCCTCAAGGTCAGGAGAAACTGGACACCCGCCTTCTCGAGCTCCGGGTCTCCGTTCGGAAACAGCAGGAGCTGCCGGGTCCCGGGGCGGACAGCGTGGGCGCGCCGGGTTCCCACGGCCTCTGCAGCCACCAGGCCCTCGGCGCGTCCTGCGGCTGCTCTGACCCGGGCAGGATGCGGGGGACTCACTCCGAGACCTGGCAGGAGCGCGAACCAGGTACAGGGAATCGCCGCGCTCCTATTTCACAAGTGCGCGCAGTGAAGCAACAGAGGGCGCACGGGTCAGGGGCGCGCGGGTCAGAGGCGCCCTGCGCCGGCAGAGGCGCAATTACCTACCTTCAGCGTAGCTCCTCCCACCACCCCTCCTCCGCGCGGCAGCGCCTTGTTCCCGCCTCCAGGCCACGCCCCGTATTTGCCTCGCCCCTTCCGTCGGCGCCCACGTAGCGAGAGCGGATCGTGCGGAATGTACGGGTGTGGTCGCGCCGGCGCAGCGACCCCTGCTGGAAACCGCCCTTTGGAGGACTGCGCTGGGCGGGTACCCGGAGGAAGTCCTGGCTCGCTGCCTAAGACGGAAGCCAGCGCAGCGTGGTTCCGCGTGGCGAGAAAGAGCTTCTTTTAATGCAGTAAACCTTGGATTCTCTCTGGTCACCGACCCTTCTGGACTTCTTTAAGAGTCATAAGCGTCTCCAGAAAAATGTACGTACCTTCCAGAATTTACTGACAATATCAGGTAAGTTCATATTTTCAAGAAGAAAACCACTGACAGATCAAATGGGGCATAGTCCAGCCTAAGTGTTAGGTTTTTAGATGGCAAATAAACAACCAACAACCGAGAAAATCCAACTCTGAAAATACTGTCTAGCAGTGGACTTGGTGGAACCATCCTTTTGTAATGTAAAAAAGGTGAACCTGGAACTAAAGGAAGAACTTCAAAGGGACCGGCTGTTTCCTGAAGTTTTATACTTGGTCACACTGATGTTCATGGGCATACATGCTCTGTTAAATAATTTCCTGTTTGCAGAGCGTCCTTCTTTCCTTTTCCCGTGGGATGCACCAGTTCCACTTGGCATATACTTTGACTTCCACGGTTTCCTCACTGCTTCACAGAGGCTACGCGGTTGCATTTGTGCAATCAGAAAAAGCCTTTACAACTTGTTTCAAGTGCTGAAGTGATACAGTTTATATATTCTGTCAATTCTGTTTCTACTGCTAACATTTTATATAGGCGAAATACAGTTGCATTTGTTGAAATCATAGATATAAACCCTGTCAATATAGGCGTTAGTAAGCATTATAAGCTGACAAAATTGCTGTATGATTATGTGTGATTTTGTTGAGAGTAACAGTGACTGCATTGCCTAGAATCAACTTAGTCATTTTAAAAAATAAACACTATAAGTTTACTTAAAATGCTAATTAATATAAAAACTGTAGTGTCCATATATATGACGTTTTTTCCCCACAGACATCTCCCACCCCAATTTCCTAACAGGATTGCACTAGTTCAGATCACAAGACACCATTGAGCTTTGAGTTACTCCCTACAAATTGGGCTCCAGCTTTTAATTTAGCTCAAATAATCTTAAGTGAAATGATGGATAAATCAAATGACACTTCTGTGTCACTACAAGCTGGGATCTATAGATGAATTTGTAGTTTTGTTGTTGTTGTTGTTGTTTTTCAAAGATTTATTTATTTACTCATACAGAACTAGGGTACAGGCCAGAGATGCGGAGGGTGAGAGGATTCACCAGAGACAGAGTGGGGAGCAGAACAGGCAGATTAACGAAGTACACTGCTGAGGGGAGCAGCGGGCGGGTCAGGAGAGGTCTGCCTCGCCATGTGGTCACCTCTGGGGCAGACGGGGATCGAACTCAGGGATCGAACTCATGCGGAAGTGGCTTAAGCTTCTCAGTGCTGTGCTTTAACCCGCTGCGCCACCAGGGAGGGCCTGGTTTTTTTTGTTTGTTTGTTTGTTTTTAATGCAGGAGCAATAGCTTTACTTTTTATACCCTGAGTGTTGTTACAGATTTTCCCATTTACATGAGGTCAGGAAGCTGAAAGAGAGTGCTTAGGCATCCCAACCTGCAAACTGCAGGGCCCACTATGCCCTGCACCTCTGACAGGAAGTGATGTTGCTTCCCCACCTCAGAGCAAGGAAAAAAGAGTTCCTCTCAAAATAGCAGTACTAGGACCAAAGGTGATTAAAGTGGGTATTGGATTTAGTTCAGGGGAAGTGCGAGTGTATCTTGCCATAAGATTGTGCTTTCCAAATTCGCTTTTTGTTGTTTCCCAATAAACTAATTTTGGTGTTCGAGTAACTGGTTGCCTTTGTTTGACTTTGTTTGACGTAAACTATTTACTTGTCGGTTCACTTGTTAACAGAGAACAGAGAAGAAAGTTTCCGTTCCACTGCCTCATCTTTTTTGTCCCAAGTTGCAAGGTAAGCTAATTACCAAAGATATTTTAAGAGCGTTCCATTACAAAGTTCACTCCACCACACTAAACTCCAACCTCACATTGCCAAGGAACTTACTCTTTACATTCTCCTCTTTTCTGAATCTGCTCCACCTTTCAGATCATTTTTGCCAGCATTTAAGTAACAAATTCTAGGTATTTCATATATGTGATAGACATGAGATTTTTTAAAATTTAGTAGGAATATGTGATGATACTCTTACATTCTAATGCAGTTTTTTGAAGTTGATGGGTTTGGAGTGTGGGGTCCTTGGGTTCAATCTGGGAAAGGTTTCACCAGAGCTCCCCTTCCGGTGGCACAGGGTGAGTTTCCTAGGAGAGTTTCTCCATGAAACAGAGATGTTAGTTATAGAGTAGGTTTGTTAGGGAAAGAGGACAAAAGTATAAAGAACACTAGCATAGACACAAGCTGGCAGGAAGAGCTACCCAGAGGAAAGGGGCAGGCTTGCTGAGAGAGGCCAGCATGGTTGCAGGCAGGAGGCCTTGAGGAGAGCGGCCTCTGCTGAGGGGGGTCAGTGGAGAGAAGCCCCGGCCTGGTACAGGTCATGGCAGACAGGAGGCAGCTGCCCTGTAGAGGGACCACGTGGGTGGAAAGAAGCACCTGCATGGTCAGAGGCTGGAAGAGGACTGCTGCAGGTGTTAGTGCAGTGACTGCACTGAGAGAGTCTTTTTCGCTTCGGGAGGGGCTCATTCCTAATGGGCCCAGTCTCTAGGTCTTTACCCTCAGGTCTCAGTGTGATCCTAACACTCTTTATGGTAGTCAGGTACCTGGTTAAGCCTTAGGCCTTAGCTAACTTCCTGGTTAGGCACTGGAATTAAGGGTCTTCATTTCCATAGCTGGATAATGGTCATGTTAATCTCTTCTACCCTCACCACCTAGTGTGACTCAGGTTTAACCTTGAGATGCCTCCTTTAGGTTTTCTATTCTTTCTTCCATCTATTAGATTTATTCCATGTTTAGATACGCTTTAACTCCTTTATACAATTCATATGTAAATTATCCCCCATTTATTTGGTTACTTCCTAAAAAAACAATCAGGCTCTTACAAACATTGCAACAATAGGCATCTGTAGAGGTATCACTGTGTGGTAGTTTTTCTGGGGTGTTACTTAGAATAAGAATCTCTGGGTTGTAGAGTATGTTTTTCATCAACTAACAAAGATCTAGTTATCCTAGTTTACTTTTGCATAAACTCATGAAAGTCATGTTTCTTCCCATTCTTAGCAGTTCATGTATTCAGATTTTAATTTTTTAAGATATATTTTTTATTTATTTTATGCATACAAGAACTGGGGTGTAAGCTAGAGGTGTTTACGGAGGGGAGGTGGTGTGTGTAAATGTGTTGGCCCATGCACACACATGTGTGCGTGTGCGAAGATTTTTATACATTGCTTCCATTATTTAAAAAATACAAGACTATCCAGGCTTTCTATTTCTTCTTGATTCAATTTTAAAGTTAAATTTTCCATAAATTACTTCATTGTGTAATGTTCCCAATTTAATGGCATAAAATTGTTTCTATTTTTATATCATCTAAAATTCTGATGGACATATTATATCCTTTGTTTTCTCTCCCTTTTTCTTGATCAGTCTTATTGGAGATTGTCAATTTTAATAGTGTTTTTACACACTAAGATTTTTTAAAATTTATTTTTACTTATGCATACAAGAACTGGGGTAGAGGCCAGAGGTGAGAGGGGTGAGAAGATTCATCAGAGACAGAGTGGGGAGCAGAAGGCAGATGTATTGAAATACACTTCTGAGGAGAGCAGCAGGTGAGGAGACAAGAGAGGTCTGCTGTGCCATGTGGGTCACCTCTCTTTTCAGGGATTGAATTTGTGCTGCAGTGGCTGCAGATAGCTTCATAGTTCTGCCTTGAACCCCGCACACCATCAGGGAGGCTCCTACATACTAAGAATTTTTTAAAGTCTTTTTTTTTTAATTATATTTTTGCTTTCTAGTTAATTAAATTATTTCCTATTTGTTACTTTTACTTTCTTTGGGTTTATTTTTCAAAAATTTTTAGCTAAATAATACATTCAACAATGTTCAGCCTCTCTTGTTTTCTAACACTAGCATTTAAGGGTATACATTACTCTCAAAGGACAATTTCACTGCAACCCACAATATTTTCAATACCATTCTCTGGGCCACAGTTGGGATTACTGGGCTAGGTTGATTTAGCAAGTAAACTAAATTTGTTGTGTTCTTACTTAATTTAAGTCACTGTGGTAATCACATCAGTATACGATACTGCCTGTTCTTCCCTTCTACATGTTGTCTAAAATAAATCTGTTACAATCTTTAGTAATGACTCAGAGTTATACAAACCTAATAATGTTCTCTAAAGTTATATAAACTTAATAATGTTCTCTTTTATAAGGATCTTAGTGTCAATAGGGATAGTTAGTAATAAGCGAGGATGCAAATGGCCTAAAATGTGAATCATACAGAGAAACAACCTTAGCCCTGAAGTACACACTTAAGTGTAAAGGATTATTTAGGTTATAGCACAGATTTTTTATAATAAGTGTGCTTTTTATTTGTTCTCTACCCTAGCCTGAAGGACAAACCAAAAATTATAGTGTATTTGTAAAATGAAAAGTTCTTTGGCCAGAAGCATCTTCAGTTCTTTGAACTGTGTGGCTTGAAATATTCTCAAGGGCAGCTTTTCATGTTTTGTGCAATTACGTTCAGGTTCTGAATCTGTAATTTGTTCTAATTTTCCATGAACACTCCTCTTGCAACTATTCATTTCCCTGGTATCCCACAATTTAAAAAAATCCATATTTGGATACATATTGTACAGGTAAGGAGGAATCTTTGGACAAATTGTTACAGTGACCAGGAA